TCTCTGGCTGACAGCCAGGAATTTTGCCATCACTAACCAGAATTCTACAATAGAATTGCACTCCCCTTTCTCAGAAACCTCACAAACAAGACTGTTACAAGGACTAATGGCCTGTGCCTGAAGTCCGATGTCCTTGTGATCTAAGGATCAATGTCTTAGATCCTCTTTGTGTAAGCCTAAACAAAGTACCTAAAAAACCTCCTCTTCAAGAACAGAACTCTGTGGGTAAGAAAACTGAGTCCAGCAGAACACATCAAACTTAGTTGCAGACCCCGTGGCTTCAAGGCCCCAATCCACGTGCAGGCAATGACTTAGTGTCCCCTCTCCCAACTCACACCTGACTCCTGTCAAGTGCTCGTGTCTTTGCGATTTAATGGAGAAAGTAACTTCGCTCTGAATGTGAGCTTCTTCTCAGTGGGGCGTGTCAGAGAGCACGTGGACCTTTAGTGGTTTGAATAAAAGGGGTACTACTGCACACACCTAATCATACATCAAAGTATCAAAGTAATCTGAAGAGCCAGGTGTGGTGGTGCATGCCTACTAACCAGCACCAGTGGCAGAAACAGGAAGATATTAAATTTGAACAGCTCAAGTGACATAACAAGACCCTGATTCAAAAATGCAAAATGAGGCTGGGTGTGGTGGTACAGCCTTTAATCCCAGCACTGGGGTGTCAGAGGCAGGAGAATCTCTGTGAGTTGGAAGCTAGCCTGGTCCACATAGTGAGTTGTAAGCCAGTCAAGATTACATAGTGAGACCTTGTCTCTAAATAAATAAATAAATAAGCAAAGCAAAATAAATGAACTAGAATAGTTTTTTAAATGATCAGAATTCTGAAAAATGAGAAATATAACCATTTAAAAGCAATTTCAATAAGGAGATTCTGCTTAGCTGAAGTAATAGTGTTTTTATTTACTTGAGAGTTGAGACTATTATAAAACTACAATTTGCCAGAATTTTAATGACTCAATTAGGAGGACTAAAAACTTTTCTAAATATAAAATATATTTAAATATATTTTTATATTAAATATACATTTATATTAATATTTAAATACATATTTAAATAATATAGCTAAATATAAAATCCAGGAGCTAGGGATATAGCTCAGGTGCCAGACTATTTGCCTTGCATACACGAGGCACACATATACACATTTAACAAGAAAATAATCTAAAAATTGTAATTCTGTGTTTATAGTCAACACATCTCAGTCATTATTTTCTTGCAAGTAAAAGATCATTGTTTTTAATTTGTGGACACGAACTCTTACTTTCCCGGAGCATGTTGACTTAATAGAGCAGCCCGTATGTGTCAAAATCCCAACGGCTTGAATAGTCTGAGTCAGTGGCCTTGAAGACAAGAGGCATTAGAGAGGGCTTCTGTGAGGTTCAGGCGAGTTTACTTGCCAAAACGAAGCATCAGGAATTTTAGATACAGAGGATTCTGAAACTTCAGTTTTCAGTGGGAAATTTGAATGGCTGGCATCATAGTTAAATATCTGAAACCTTTTCTAGTTCTTGCTAGGAAACCTGGAGACAGTAACTTGAATTTGATATAAAATAGTAGTTCTGTTTCATAACTGAAAGCAAAACTTACCCTCCTACCCTTGAACTTTTGGAATTCTAAATAGGAACTTACGTATTTGATTAACTATTTAATAAACAGCTAAGTAATTTGAAACGAAAAAGAAGCTGAGGCAGGAAGATTCCAAGTTTGAGGGCAGCCTGGGCTACATAGTTCAAGACCAGATGGGCAGTACCCTGCCTCAAAATAAATAAATAAAGTAATTAATTTCCCAAACTAATTTTAATTTATATGTGTGCCCTGAAGATATGAAAGAGACTTGCGAGCTACTCCTTCATTTCCTCAATTCAAACACCCCTTCTTTATTCCTAACTCAGAAAGATTTCAAAACGCAGACCTAAATTTTAAGGTGTCAAAGCTCCCACACACCATTTGCTATCCCCAACTAGAGCCTTCAAGTGCGTCTTCATGCAGGGCTTCTGTATTCGTTTCGCATGGGCTCCAGTCCCCACCGAGGGCCTTCTTCATACAGGGCAAGTAAGTATTCACACAGGGTTCTAGATTCGTTTCCCATGGGTCCCATGGAGTACACGATAGACGAAATTTCCTGGCAGAATAAGTACCGTCCTCCAGATCATATGCAGAATGAAACGCAGTCTTCATCAAGCATACCTACTTCCCAGCCCCATTGGGTTTGCTGCTGCAGGGCCAGGCTAATGTCAGCACACAGTGGGCACACAACCAACACTGTTGACTAAAGAAACTCGTCATCCTTAAATACAGGAAGTTCTGAAGCAAGTGGCCCTTTCCCTTACCACACTGCTCGGGCTTCCCCTTTCCATCTACACTTACAGATTGTTTACGTACACTACATTAACCCAAGGTTACCCCAGTACCCGAGAATCCCCCCAGTTAAAAGAACCATGGCAGAAAAGAACAAAAACCCACCATTCACCTCCATAGGGTCACCAAATTCCCGAAACAAATTAGGGGATGTACCTTCCAACATGTTTTAGGGACCTGCTTTCTGTTTCTAGACTGGTCATACTGACAAAGCTCATTCGATCACTGGAGGATGCACACAGCTTTGTGGCTAGAGTCCCAAGTTCCTCAGGAAATGCTTCAAAACAACAGCGATGATGTCTAACACAGGCAGGGGCCTCTGCACCTGCCTCTCCCACGAGCAATCCCGGTCCTAACACTCTGAGAAATGACCTCATATTTAATCCTGCAGCACTGAGCAGACCTACGCGGCAGTTACCAGAGCCGGAGGAAACCTACAAAGGATCTTCTTATTCCTGTCCTAAAAAAATACCTCCTAGTGCCCGAGCTCAACTCTGACGGCAACCACATTCTTTTAAATATCTTAAAATGTGCAGGGAGAGACGGTGAAAACACAGAACGTAACTGATAGCTGCAGAAGATTTTTCTGCCTGTTTAAAATCTCATCCACCTTTACCTCTCATTCACCTCCCACTTAAACTGCTACATTTGCTACCTTATAACCTATTTACCATATTATAACCTATTTACTATATTATAACCTATTTGCAATGTTTAGGAGACAGACAGATAACAGCTTATTTTAAGAACTGTCCCTTTGTTTAAAACAGTCTAGGATTTTAAAAAGCTAACCATATTTACAGCCCCATGAATTTCCAATTAATTAAATTTTACTGCACACCTGTTAAAAATCAATAAAACACACTTTGGGGGGTCAATAGCTTGGGGGACATATATTAAATAATCATAACATATCCCTTTAGGGTCAACTTTTCTCTCTCCTGGCGTTCATGACACGCTGTAAATACAGCTGGAAATAATGTGTCTTGAAAGCAATGGTACTCGGTTTGAAGAAAACCTTCCCGTTTTTCAAAATGCATAGCACATTGGTGGATACAGACAGCCAAGGAAGCACAGAAGCAGCCATTGTGCCGTGTGCGCAGGCACAGGAAGATGGAGAACCAGGTAAACAGATGACTGAATCACTGGAGGGGGAGGGGGTCAAGTCACAAAATAGAAGGTGACGTTCTCAGCAGACCATCCATGCTAATAAGAGAAAACAGTTGAAGAACGGATGGGAATTTACTTTATAAGCAACATGGTAAGCATGCTTCACGTGAGACGGGTGGATTTCGATAGGAAACTTGACATGTATCTCCAATTTCAAGGAGCTATATCACTGTGTGTTCTAGAATCTTCCTTCCAAGTCTACCGTTTGTGAACATATTGTCTGGATTCCTAAGAACCAGCCAGAAAAGCTTACGCCATTGATGCCCATTTCCGGCCTGCTTTCACAGCTTTGCCATCATGTCCAGACACACACCAAAAAAAGGTAAAATGACCGGTTGTCTCTGCTCTTAACCCCTAGCAGCCAGCCTCTCTTGCCCATGGAGGTAACTTAAGCTGGCCCAGATGGCCTGGCTCTCCTAGCGCAGGGGAGCTGGGTTTGTTTTCAGGGTGGGTGCTGCAAGCACCAGGTGTATTTATAGAAGGGAACATGGAGTGAGATGGCCGAGAGGAAGTTGCGTCCACACAGTGGAGACAGGTTATGGAAGGATCTAGATTCCACAGCTCAGTTCCACTCCAGACCAGCTATGGAATCGTATTAAAATCTTTTTTTGGTCTCTACCGTTATAAAATGTAGACAACTCCGCTTGCCATAGAAAAATAACAGAATGACAAATGTACATGAAAAGGCTGGGCTGTAGAAGATTTTCAATAGACGTCACCTTGTCTTCCTCCTGTTCAGCCAGAATTACGCATCAAAAATGGAAACGAGCTTTCAACGTTAAGACTGGAAGGCACAGGCTTACAAGCAGCGAGAAGAAACAAACAAACAAACGACTTGGGTGGAGGATTATATACCGAAGGACTTCGCCTGAAATGGAGTTTGGATATTGATAAAGGGGGAGGAGGAGGAAGGCATGGGAAAAGCATCAGGTTGGAACCTCACTGACAGGAACATCAACAAAGAGATTTTATGTAAGCACGAAACAAACTTCGGAAGCCACGGATATCCTGTGAAGTCTCTAGACGGCCTCCATTCAAACAACAGCGCTCAGGGCTGAGCCAGAAGCGCGCCATCCACAGGCCTCCGGCTCCATACCAGGCCACGCTACCCCGCAAAACTGCCCTCCAGGCCCCGGGCTGTTCTCCAGCCTCCGATCGCGCTCCAGATGGGATGGCGAGCCGGGAGCGTGCGGCTGGAGGGATGGGGATGGGATCCTGGGGAGCGATGCGAGAGCGGGGAGGGACGGAGGAGTGGGCAGGGATGGATGCCAGAGTGAAGGGCTGCAGAGAGCCACAATGAAGGACGGGCGGAGACTGCGACAAGCAGGATCGGGGTCCCGGGCGGGGGCCGCGGGCGAGGCCGGGGCGTGGGAAGGCTGCAAAGGGGGCGGGATGGGGCTCAGCAGGGCTGGGAGGAGGCTGACGACCCCCGCAGGTGCCACCGGGCGCAGGGTACTCACGGTGTACAGCAGGTTGAGCGCGCACAGGCAGTTCTTGGAACACGAGAAGCCCCCGCACACCATCGTGGCGCGTGGGTTGGAGGGCGCCTGCGGGTCGAGGCGTCCTCGGCGGGGCTGGGCGGGTAGCCGCTGGATCCTAACCTCCTGGGCCTATGGACGGGGCTGGGCTGGGGGTTCGGGTTCGAGATCAGGCTCAGGGCTGCAGTGCCGCGCCCGCAGCGGCTCCCACCCGCTCTGCAACCTGCGGGGCGCAGCGGCTCCGCCGATCCCACGCCCCGCCCCGCCGCCCCGCCTCTCCCCGCACGCTGATTGGCCACGGCCGGGGAACAAAGGTAGAAATATGCAAATCAATGCGCTCGACAGACCCGGATCCGGGAGGGCGGGGCAGCTCTGCGGAGGGGGAGGGGGTCTAGGCCGCCCCGAGGGAACCGGGCCCGGGGCTCGTGACAGTGGCCCGGGTGTCATCCCCCACTCCACCCCCACCCCAGCAGGTGAGCAGCCGAGGGCGGGGCTCCACGCTGGCAGCAGAAAGGACAGCACCTCTCTGCATTCTTGCCCCGTGGGTGACGTGGCACCATTTTGAACGAGATGATAAAACAAAACGAAGCACCTGGCCTCGTTTGAATGAAAGAAATAGACAAGAATGAAAGACTGACAGAGAATGAGGATGGAGGCAATGAAAGAAAAAATAAATAAATAAGTGAAATACTAAAAGGAGCAAACAAAAACCTGTTTCTCTCAACGTAGGTATGAAATGTGGCCTGGAATGGTGACAGATCTCAGGTCAAGAGGACTCACTCTACTCAGGACCTGAGAAATACTTACGAATACATAGGTGCAAAAGCAATCACGGATCATTATTCTTGTGGCAGGGTCCTGAATTTTAAAATGCTTCTTTGCATAAATAAGAGCTGGGGAAGCCTTTCAATAATGGACGCAGTTAATTTATTATCATTTTATTTGCAGCATCTTGAATTCTGATTCCTTGCCTCTAACTAGAATATTACAAGTATATTAATCACGTTTTGACAGACCATTGCATAGACTAAAGTATCATATCAGATGATATTAGTCCAGCTAATGTGTTTTAAGCACCACTGTGTTCCAGCTGTTAGGCTGGTGGTAAAGGATTGGTGATTTCATAGTACTTTCTACCAAGAGCAGACTTTATAAAGGCCTTAAGAGTTGGCGCTGTGGTTAAGAAGGCTTACTGCTCTAGCAGAGGATCCCAGCACCCAGATATCACTCCCATCTGTGACTCCAGTCCTAGGGAATCCAGTGCCCTCTTTTGACCTCAGGCATCAGACATGCACATGGTACACATACACACACGCAGGCAGACACTCATAAACATAAAATACTAAAATAAATCTAAAAAATGAAAGATTTTCAAATTTACTATATGTTTTGAGCCTAAAACTTCACACTGTTACGTGAATGTATGGGTCAAAAACCATTGATTTAAAGAAGTTAATTAAAATAGCTTCAAATACTGTACTCCCTCTTCTAGCCCTTCATGCCTCCTCTAACCTCCCTCATACAAACTCGTGGATTCTTTGTCTTCTGTAATCCTTCTCAATCTTGTATATACTCCCAGAAATATTTTTAAAAATTAGTATAGGAAATGACCCTCAACTCCAAACTATACTTTTAATTCCACTTTTCTTTTTTAAATTCCAGAACTTTAAGCCTTGTGTGGTGGTGTGTGTCTTAAATTCCAGTGTTTCTGAGGCAGAGGCAAGCAGATCTCTGTGAGTTCCAGGACAGCCAAAGCTGCATAGGAAGACCATGTTTTAAAACGAAAGAAAGAAAGAAAGAAAGAAAGAAAGAAAGAAAGAAAGAAAGAAAGAAAGAAAGAAAGAAAGAAAGAA